AAACATTACCCAAAATGACAGCTACACTAACCCATTGCACCTGCTCTCTAGCAAACGGCCCTCGTCCATCAAAAGGTGTGTTCTGATGTCCCCTTCTGAACTTGCATTCAGAAGCGACCCCTGAGACTAGGTGGTGAAATGTAATGCAGCGTCCCCTTGTGCTCTCCCTGGGATTTTATCCCTGGAATCTAGTCTAGTCACCCTACTGTGAGGAAAACTGGGTCATGCGGAAAACAGCCAAAGTTGCAGGCTTCAGCTGCCATGTAACTGAGTGGCATGTCTTAGGGTTGGGTCCTCTGGGACTGCAGGTGAACCTCATCTTTCTTTTCCCCCTCCCTTCAGTGTACGTTATAGGAATTAAGCTGAAACCAATAAAACGTAATCAATGTGTGGCTGATGAAACAGCTCTGTGGGTGAAGCTCTTGCCTTAGGAGTATGAGGGCCTGAGTATGATCCCCGGAACTCACAAGCCAGGTATGGTAGTGTGGTTATCCCAGTGCTGGAGAGACAGAGAGAGAGAGAGAGACAGGAAGGGTGGAGGGACCTGAGGACTAACACCCAACATTGATTTCTGTCTGCTGTGAACAACTGCATGTACATACAGATATGTATACGCACACACAAAGTAGTCAATATGGACTCGTGTACATACACATATGTATTATATATCTACACACTAAGCAGTCAACACGGATTTGGCATATAGCTAAGTAGTAGAGTAGCTTGCTTAATTTGCCAAAGACCCTGGGTTCAACCCCCAGTACAGCTAAAGTATTTTAAGATTTTTTTTTTTTTTTCTGGGCAGTGCATACCTTATTCCCAGCACTCAGGAAGCAGAGGCAGGTGGATCGCTAAGATCAAGGTCAGCCTCTGGTCTACAAAGCTAGTTACAGGATAGTCGAGACTACAAAGAGAAACCCTGCCTCAGAAGAAAAATTAAAGTGTTTTTTAATTTCTAAAAATTATTAAAAAATTTAGATTTTTTTTTCTCCAAAAGCCAGAAAGGGACAATTCTAACAGAAAAAAGGGTCAGTAAAGTTTGTTGTTGCTGTTGTTAATTTTCTAGGTGTCTTTCATGGTGTCATTACCAAAGAATGCGTAGTACTTCATTTTCCCTGTGCCTTTGAGATTTCGCCTTATGAAAACAGTGATTCGAAGCTTTTCTGTCACACACCTTCTCTACTTTGTCCAGGTAAGTTGCTGGGTCAAGCTCAGTCAAACTGCATAGGTGTAGGCTATTCATCCTGTCCTCTGTAAACATTAACGTGCAGGCTATAAAATGATGTTTTCATGACTGAAACAAAGCAGAGCATACAAGGCGTCCGTTTGTCTTCAGAGGGCCCTGTGATTTGGGGCATTCAGAGAAAGGCACAGTGACACTGGAGGTGTGGCCTTGCCTTTGGCCTTTGAGGGTGCCAGTCAGTCTTTGGCTGCCCTTTATTTCGCCTGGTTTCATCAAACCTGCTCACATCAAGGGCTGAGTAAATATTTGTGAACTGTTTGAACTTTGTCCCGTGCCCTTCAATTCTCTTTGGACTTTAAAGACATTTTAAAGATTCGCCTCCCCAAACTGGACCCACTCAGAGCCAATTGCCAAGTGAGCTCTGAGGATCTGAGGAGCGAGGGTGTCTGCATGTGTGGAGCTGCAATATCAATTCACTACTAAAGCAGTCCTTGTACCGCAGCTCAAGGTCTGTGCCCTGGTTTTCCAAGGGCTTTGCAAGGATTTTGTCCTCCACCCAGCCACCACGGGATCTGTTCTTTCATGTACTTCTCCACCCACCCCATCTCCCACACTTGCTAATTCTCTGGCTGGTTGCCTCTTGCTCAGCAGACCCCCATCTCTTGCCTTTCCTCCACCCTGACTCCCTCTCACAATTCCTTCCAGAAGCACCCAGGCCGAGGAGGTGAGCAGCTCTCAGAAGTCTCCCTCCCCTGACAGAGGAGTGTGAGCAAGGGTCAGGGCCAGGTCCCACAGTGCTAGCTGAGCGAGCCTTAGGAACATCAGTTTTGTAATCTATGTGCTAATCGGCCCAGGGTTGGGCAACTTCTCTCTCTCTGGAGAGGAAGGAAAGAAGCCTCCAGATGAACTGACACATCTCTGGAGGCACACAGCAGCTTGGCCTTTCATGATTTGGCTGTGGCATCCAGGCCGTGTAACCTTTGATTCCTCCACTTCCTGGGCTGTAAAACGGAGGCGCCACTTCCTGCCCAGCATCACGAGATGTTGTAAAGAGCGGCAAATCCTGATGAAGAGCAGTTTGCAGCAGACAGGGCCTCAAAGGTCAGTTCTAAAAGGTAACAATAGTTAGGGAACAGAAGGCAGATGGGAAAGAGAGAGAGAGATTCCCCAGTACAGCACCAGATGCCTCATACAGGTGGATTTAAATGTCCCTGAGCTCTCACTGACTCAGTTTCCTTTTTGAGAGAGAACAATGATAAAGTCTAGCTCGCAGAGTCATTCTGAGGACTAAATGTGGCATTGCTCACGGTGTATAGTATGTGGTACCCATCATAGACAGTTTCACACACCCTTTTCATTGTGTCCTTAAACAAGTCTCTCCAACCCTGCCAAAAGATGCTGGAATGATAGATAACAAAACAAAAAGCCTCAGTGGAGCTGAGAGCCTTGCTTAGGGTCACTGCTCTCAGTAGTGAGAGAACACCTCCCAATTTTAAGGTCCTTACAAATCCCTGTTTTCATTCCTCTGAAGACTGTTGGAATTTTTATCCTCAGACAACCCTCCCCAATTCCTCTTTTAACCCTAAAACCTGTTCGTACCATTAACTGCTGCATGCCCTGAGCTTTCCGAAGCATCCACAAAACCTGCAAACAACCTCCTCTCCCCCAGGACCAGCCCCCACCACCCTCACAACACAAGGAGAGACAGGTAGCTTTTTCTCCCAGACCGGAGGAGGATGGCACTAATGGGGACAGCAAGCGAAGGAGCCCGGAGAGCCACAGCTGCTGGCAAAGGTTGCCCTAGTAACGGTGAGGGTTCCATTCAGGAAAGCAGCCCAACTCTGAGAAGGAAAATGATAGCCTTCGCTTGGCTCCTCGCGAGCACAAAGAAGCCTACAGAGTATCCGGGGAGCAGAAGAGGCACAGGCAGGGCGAGGTGAGGGCCCGTGCTGTCAGTTACAACCTCCCACCTTTCAGAGGAGCGACAGAAGAAAAGCACAGAGCACTGCATCTTTCTGGCCTGTGTGAAGCCTAAAAATCACCCTTTTAACATGAACCCTTTTGTGGGAATAGAGGAAGCAGGCAACCCTCTGTCCACCAGCCTTACGAAACAATATGCCAGGAGGGGGAGAAACCCCAAACACTGCAATTTATGGGGGCCCTAAATTCTGCCTGCTCTCTCTCCTTGCTCAGCCTGGTGACAAAGACCATTTGCTCCCGATGTATTGGAAACTTCTTTTGGTCACAGCTTGAGCCGCTCCAAGGGTGCCCCCTCTCCTGAAACCACTCTCAGACATTTGCTGAATGGGCCAGGCTCAATTAATGCTCCCTCCACAGGTTCCACTCACACTGTGACCCTGCATGGCTTCCTGCTATTCATATGTGTTACTTCCCCTTTGTGGTAATGGCTTGTGGCACTGGGCCAGAAAACATTATTAATTTCAGAAGTGGCCTGACAAACAACAAACCCACAGAGAAACAAGAGGAAGTGCTGAGGAGGCCAGCTGTCGGCTGGAGCCCAGCAGTAGGAACTCAGTGTCTGCAAGTTCTGAGAGGAATAGGGATGATGATCCATCCACAAGGGGAAATGCTCTAAAATTACCCACAGTGCCCCCCCTCCCGCCCCACCTCCCTCCATGGAAAAGAAAGAAAAAAGAAGAAAGAAATCAGAGAAAAGAAGGAATGAAAGCATTCGGCTACTTGAGCTGCAGCTGGACAGGAAACTCTGCTTGCAAATCCCTACTTTGAACAGGCAGTTTAGGGAATGCCAGGAACGGAAACTCTTGAGAACCGGATTAACGGGAGCCAAGTTGAACTACCATCCATTTCTGCTTTCTGGGTTCCTGCTGACTTGGGACACCCAAAGAGGAGCCTGACTTGGTTATTTTCCTGCAGCTTGGTTTTTGTACTTAGTCACTTGAAAAGAATCACTCCCAGGCAGGTTGACACAGTTCCTTATAGAATGAAAGCCATTTGCCAGTGGCATGTAGACTGCCAAGTCGCCCTGACAGAAGTCTCCCGTGTGGCCCCTGTCAAAAGCTCACTTTCCGGTTTCAAAACGACCAAGTTCAGGTATGAGATTCCAAAATACATATGCTAGCACTTTTGATTCCAACACGCAAGCCCTTTACCTGTGGTTTACATTCTTCCAAACTCAGAAAAGGGTTTGCCATGATGCCCAGCCTTTGGCTCAGAAGGAAACTTCAAACAACCCATAATGGAGGTTTAGTGGGGACTTCTGGCCTACATCTAATACAACAATAGCAGTCGGGAGTTGGGAGAGCATGATTTCTTCCTAAGTAAGCATCCAAACACATCAAACCCCTTGCAAGTCCACATACTATTAGAATGTCATGTACTTGAAAGAGGGAAGGAGGCCCATTTTAGCTTGTGCTAGGATAACTTTACAGTAGAACCAGACAACCTGGATTAAAAAAAAAAGAAGATTATCTCTATTTCCTTCCTGGCATGCCAAAGGAGTATGGAGTAGAGGACCCTGCAGGACAAAGGACATGTGGCTGACATTATCCCAACACAGCCTTCTTTTGGCAGTTTATAGATAGCCAAACCTTACAAAAAGGGACATAGTGTGGACTTCATTTTTTCAGGGTGAGGGAAATATCAAGTCTGAGCTACTTGTAAGCATTATCTATGCATGTACCCTATGAGGCCTTCCTGGTAAGTGAAGTTAATTTCATGGACTATGTCTGAAAAACATTAGTAATAACCTTGCCTTGGCTATTCATTACTATAAGCTGTGTCAGTCAATGCATTTGTTACTTCATGTGCTAAGGAGACATGTAAAAATAAAAACACATTCAATAGCCAAAATAGTCATTTATTAATAATTTAAGGTTTTACATTCTTATAAATTCCAGCTCAAAACTTTACACCCGGAACATCATGGAGCAACTTAACTCTTCCTTCTCCACGGCCCGATGCATCCCACCTATCAAATGGGTACCCATGCTCACACACACATAGACACACACTTCCAGTTTTGTATAATTTTTCTTAAAGGAAAGAAACCAACCATGAGTATTGCATTTGAGGTGACACTCCCTGAAGAATTTTGTACAGAGGTAATAGACTGTTTAGCACAGCTGAAGTTAAAAAAAAAAAGTGAACCCACAATTTTGGTGTCTTTCCCAGATTCACCCTCCCCCTTGAGTCAATGTAAGCCAAATATTTACAAAGGTAAGGCAGAGTCGAAGTACATTAAGGGGGGGGGGGGAATCACAAGATATATGAAGAGACCCAAGACTGCACCGTAACAAAGTCTTAATGGTAATAATATCCATGAAAAGGTCATCAGGATTGGTACAATAAGGTCAAGCATGCTGCAAATATACCCTTTGGATTAGAGAAGAGCACGACTTTCCTTATTTTTTTTTTTTTTATTTTTCCTTTAGTTTTAAGAAGTGGCACACTGCTCTTTCTCTCCCTTTGGACTTCGTTTATACCATACCCAAAGATAAAAACAAACACAAGCCAAACGAACACCGTCAAGTGATTGAAGATCAAATATTTACAATAATCAAATAAGAGTTATCAGTTTTGTTTTTCTTTTCCAAACTGATACCACAAATACAGAGCTAAAATCTTTGGCTCCACTATATGCAAAGTTGAGTCAGTCTTCACTGAAGACAATACATAGTTCCAGATGCAACAGGAAACAGCCATACAAGGCCCTAAAGAACACATGCCCCTACCCTACTTCTTGGTCCTCTTTATCTGGATGGATGTCCAGTCCCTGCTTGGGTAGGCTGGGGGTACGGGAGCAAACCCATTGCCTGGACCTAGACAGCATGTCCAGTCCTTCCAAAGAGGATGGAGCAAATCTCTCCCTCTGTAATAACCAATTTTGCACTTGGCAACCTTGTCTAATACAGACAGCTGGTGACATTTTGACACCGGGGGCCACACACAAAGAAAGCAGCCTGCTTGTTGCTGCCCAAGAGAAACTGCTGCAGGAACAGGAACACTCCCAGCTAGGTAAGTTGGGTGCCTTTCACGTAGACTGCAGCGAGTCCACCTGGTAGACATTCTGGTTGGAGGGAGCAGTGAAGTAGAGCTGCTGTGCCGGAACACGGTTGTCACAGGGGCTGCTGAGTCCCAGTGTCCTTTCAAAGTCAAGCAACTGGCCCATGAAGTTGAAGTTGGGTGAGATGTTGGACTTCTTCATCTTGACAATGTCATAAGCATCGTTCATGGACAGGTTGAGCTTCTGCATGAGGTAAGCAACCGTCACTGTGACAGAGCGGCTGATGCCTGCCAAGCAATGCACCAAGACACCACAGTTTTTGCCTCGGGCTTCATCTGTGAACACAAAAAGAAAGGCAAGATCTCACTAAACTGAAAAAACAAACAAAACAGAAACCACCCTCTGCCAATGCTCTGCTAAAGCACGAATTAAGAGTATGAAAACCAACTAAGAGTATGAAAAACAACCGTGTTGTATGGCAGTTGAGCCCTGAAGGCAGCAGAAAATGTGTAACTGATATAAACATGTACACTGAACACAATGACATAGTTCAGATATTTCCTACAAAGAGAGCGTTTTGTATTAAGTTTCTACCAACAAAAATCTCCTTAATGTGGACATTCTTTGCCTCAGCACACGAATACCAGAAATCCTGCAATATGGTCCTGAATGCCTCTCATACAGAGAAGCAGACAGCAGCAAGGGTCTATTAAATTATTCTCCAACTGTTGTGCAGCTTAACAATGGAGGTATTCAGGCATTTTAAAAGAGAGGGAAGTCACAGGGGACAGCCATTAGGAGGAACAGGATGTCTACATGGCCTGAAAATGAGTTCCTTTGTAATAGGAAATGCACTACAAAGCCTGGAGATTCGCTTCTCTTAGGCTGCTAGCCCACAGTTCTTCCTGCTAGAGATCAGGTTACCCAGAGTCTCACAGTTACCAGCATGCACACTGCAGTATCATTCAACCCGGTAACATTTTAGTATTCACACTGCTTTCCAACAACTAACTTGTGTGTCCTAAAATAACTCCTGGGTCCTTTTCTAAAAATTATAAAGCAAGATTCAGACTCTTGTCTATAAGGGAAGTGCTTCTACTTAGCTCTCTCTTCGTTCTCACACCCTTGAGACATGGAAACACACACACACACAGATTGGTAACAGCAAAAGTACGAATTAAATGGTTCAAGAAAATGTTTCACAGTTCCATGATCTGCTATGTTAACCCCCCCTCCCCCCGCCCTTCAGGGAAACCAGAATTTAAAAAAAAAAAAAAAAAAAAAAAAAGAACGCTCTAGGAACAGTAGAGACCTGCAGCCCCAGCAAATAGCTTGCAGGGGAACAGATTAACATCTTCAACTCAATGAATGACTGTAAATTAGCCTCACCTATGAAAGAGATGGCCTCAGGGAAAAATTGGGACAGGTTTTGGCTCCAGTGATCCGAAATAGGGATTTGCTTGTATTTGAACTCCCCCGCATTCTCAAAGAGGTTGGGCAAATTGGGGGTGACATTCAAGATGTACTTGATGCCAAACTCCTCCAACACGTCCAAATTGGTGGAGTCCTTGGCACAGCCCAGGTAAAGGAAGGGCAAAATCTCCACCGGGAAGGAAGGCTGGCTGTTGGACAGTGGACTGCCGTCCGAATCCGTTGCACTGTTGGGGTCTCGGTCAAGGTCAGACTCAATGTCCGAGGAAGAGTCGGAGCTGATCCGCAGGCCCCCGAGCCCTAGCACTGGCAAGGGCGGGGAGCTGCTGCTGCACGAGCCGTCTAGATTGGTCTCGCAGTGCAGGGAGAACTCGGCCTGGAACTTACTGAAGCCACCTGCCAGAACAAGAAAAGCAATCTTGTAACCAGAGATGCTGTAGTAATTTTCAGCCTGTGAGAACTGCAGCTGGGTGCAGGAAACACTACAGGCAGGCACCCAAGGAACCTCCTGCAGTCCTAATAGAAACACCTTTAGGAACATAACCGGCCGCTTCCCCCAGGGAAGCCTTAATTCATCTGAATCCGGAAATGCACAAAATGATAACTTTTCCTAATACTTCGACCCCCAACCACCTCCCCAGTCTTCCGAGTCTTAATTTGAAATCGAACCAAAGAAAAGGGAGGGGGAGGTAGAGGTGCCTGGTTATTTAGAACCCTTGGGGGAGGGGGTGACCAGAAAGGAAGCTACCACGCTGGCCCAGCTCCCCTAAGCCGAACGCACGCGGTGGTCCCTACCTCGCTTCCCCACCCCGCAACCCTACCCGCGAGCGCTGCGCCCGCGGTGCACAACGTACCTTCTAGGTAGAACGCCCGGCAGCCCTCGTCTTTGAGTTTCTTGAGCAGAAGCCCGAGGACCGACTCGCCACCTGTGTTCTCATTCCAGTCGCTGCTGTTCTCGTCGTAGAGCACTACGGTGTCGGTGCCGCAGCGCCTGGTAAAGCGGTCCCGGTCCTCGCAGCGCGTGAAGAGCGCGCGCACGGGCAGGTTGCCCTTCTGCAGACGCCGCAGCATGATGCCCGGGATGGCCACGTTGATGGCCGATTCGATGTGCGACGACTCGTACAGCTCCTGAGGTCGGCAGTCCATCAGCAGCAGCCGTTCGTTGCCCAGCTCCAGCTGCTCGTTGAGCCACGCCACCGTCTTGCTGATCGCCATTTCCGACGCGAAGGGCACGGGTCTGAGCGTATCTATCATGGGGGTCGAGCTGCAGGAGAAGGCGGGGTGCCTAGCAGACGCCCCTCGAGGCAGGCATAGGCCGAGCACGCTGCGCGAAGCTGCCGCTCTCGGAGCGGAGTTCGGTTGTGCCTCGCCTTTCCCAAGCCGAGACTAGCGGTTAAGGAAGGCGACACAGGAGCCAAGTCGGTGGTCCCTCTGCACCGGGCTGCAGGGATCACGCTTGGAGTCAGCGAATCTCTCTGAATGAAGGTGCCCAGGTTTGTTCCTCCTCAGTGAACGAACTCCAATTAATTCGGACTCCGTGCCACTGAGAGGAGAAAAAGAAAAGAAAACAAAACAAAACAAAAAATGTCTAGCGGCTCCTAATCCTTCCCTGTGAGGCTGCACCTCAGATCCAACCCGGTTGGATTCTAGACTCGGTGTGCTCACAGTCCCTAGGACTCGGCGAGAGCACACCCCCTGCGCGAGGCAGCTCCTCAATGGATACAAACAGCCAACGTCTCAATGGATACATTCTCTCGGCCAGCCAATGAGCGCGCTGCGGAAGGGGCTGTTGCCGTGGGGACGGGCCGGCTGGAACAGGTTGTGTTGATGAATTGTTAATGAGTTTGTCATTCACAAAAACGGAAAGGAATTTCCGCTCCGGATAAGCCCCAGTGCAAACAAGCTGCCACTGCGGGCTCGGCGGGAGGAAGGAGAAAGAAGAGGAGGCGGCGGTGGTGGTGGAGGAGGAGGAGCAGGCCAGATAAACCAGGGCACTTCAGTTGTCTCGTGTTTCCTTCTGTTGAGAGTTCGCACTTCGCGTCGGACTCTTTGCAATTAACGAGCACAAAAGCCCTTTTTCCGCGACGCTTGCGCTCTCAAGCTAGCTTTAATAAAAGTTGGTGGGTCCCCGTCCCCTTTGTGTTTATCCCCTTACAACTCCGGACCCGCCACAGCCCCTCTCCCCGTCCTCCTTGAGATCGTGTGTGGCATTTGTTTGGCTCTTTTATTAAAAAGTCTAGTTGTTTGTTCTGATGTTCTTTTAGCCGAGGCTGTGTTGGGGCTGGTGAGCTGCCTGGGCTTTAGTGACCCGACGAAGTGTTAAATGCTAATCCAACATCTTTCGAAACAAACTGGGGTTTTGTTGAGACATTTTAAGGCAACTAAGCAAACAAGCGTTTGGTTGTCCAGAAAACCAGAAGCTCTCCAACCACAGGTATTCTCAACTTTTTTTTTTGGGGGGGGGGGCTAGCCCTACACTTTTCTTTTGCTCTGGTGTTCCGGTCCCACCGAGCCCGGGGAGTCGTGCTCCTGTAATGATTTGGGGCCGGGAGCGGGAGTTTGCCTTCTAAGAGGAACCGGTCTGGCCAGGCAGCCTGGGCAGGACGTCTGGGACGCCTGGCTTCACCGACGATCCCCGCAACCGGGGAGACGCGGCGAAGGCCTCCCGCAAGACCTGCAGGCTGCGGGGACTCGAGTGAAGACGCCGACCGGCTGCTGTGGACACCGAGGCCGGCGCCCACTCTCCCCTTGGTTCCTGCGGTGCCGGAGCCCCGCACAGAGCTCTCTAGAAGCTCCGAACGCGCTTGCGCGCTGCTCTTCTGGCCACAGCCCCGGTGCTCTGGGGGAGGGGGACAGCGCGACCACCCAGTGATCGCCTGTAAAGCCAGCGCGGAACTGTCGCCTCGGGTGAGAACTAGTACAGGTAGAGAGCCAGAACCAGAGGAGTCCGCGTCCGGACCCACTGGTTCCCAAGTTAGGGTGGGGAGTTTCAAGGACAACCTCCGCTGCCCGTACCACCCGCAGGCAACTGAGGACGGAGGCGGCGCGGCTCCGGAGCCGGATGGAGGCGTGGCCGGCGGGGACGGCGACGAGGGCGCATTCCCGGCGCGCACAGCTCTATTGTTATATAAAAGTACCGAGGCCGCCCCTCCCGGACGGAAAACCACCTGTGTGCGGCGGCGGCGGGCCCTGCGGAAGGCGCGGGTCCCGATCCGGTCTGCCCTCCCGGCCCCACCGAAAGGAACCGCTCATTGTCCGGCCGCAGTCGGGAGGCGGAAGCGCGGGCTGCAGCCCTTCCCGAATCCGGGGCGCGGAGGGCGCCTAAGGTCACCAGGACTCCCCAGCCCGGCGCCTTGCATCCCGGTCCTACCTGCTGTCGCCCGCAAGGCAATTTGCATTTTGAATCACCCTCCTCCGGGGTTTGGGAAATGTGGGCTAAACGGGGCAACTTCAAGGTCCAAGTTGCCAATTTTGGAGCACTCCCGCAGGCAGGCGCTGCAGGAGGAGCGTTTTGATGAAAATGGGGGTGCCTCTATCTTCTCTCCGCGCCTTTTTTGGGCTGCGCTGGGAACAAAACGCCCATAATTCACTGGATGGCTTCCAATTCCCGCTGGGGTAGGCCTGCTCTGCAGCTGACGCCCCCGGATCCTTCCCCATGTGGTACAGGCTTCCCCACCCCGAGACGTTTCAGTCGGTGGGGACCAACGGAGGACAGTGGGATGCTCTGCCACGAGAACGTGGAGGAAGAGTCTCAACCTCAGAACAGGAGAGGGAAGGACGTTGAGTTTCTTTTTACCAAATTTTAAAGAGAAGCTCCCCGGTAATGCCTTGGCACGCGTACCAGTGTTTCTGGGTTCGAGTTATCGCCCACTTCCTCCAAGAAATGAGACCGTTTCAATCTAATTGTACCCTGTTACATTTTTTTCTCCTCGTCGTCCTAGTATTTTGTAGGGCCGCTGTAATATTAAATGGACACAATGAAATACGTGGTGATGGTGTGCTGTTAGCTGGTGTATTTATATGTTCTGGGCTAACCTATAAGATGGTTTAGGAGGTTTTTTTTGGGGGGGGGGCAGTTATTTTCTGACCCAAACAGTCCCTTTGAAGCCTGCCTGGTTTCTCAACTTGCAGCCATTCCCTAGGAGAACTGCCCAAACCAGTTTTAATTCACTCCAGTTCAATAAAACAGGAGATGTCCAGGCTCAAATGCTACCTTCGCGATGTTAGGTGGGTGAATCCAGACAGTGTCTTACTTCTTGCTGCTGCCTTTTAACATTTTTGCTTCGTTACCCCACACCAAGACAAATGAAATGGTGTGTGTGGAACAGTACTTACTACAGGGCAGGCACGGCCTTGTTTCTGTCCACCTGAGTAATGTTGGACAGTCTTCAGAAAAGTTAACACAAACTCGATAACGGAGATTCAGGAACTGGCCTGAAGCTATCTGGTGACAAAGAATGTGCTCAAGACTTGAGGTCAGACCCAAGGTGACCAGGTCCAAAGATCATTAAGCTCCCATTTCCTGCTAAGACGCACAAGACTTGACGTTTCTAAGTTGAGCCTTTGGGATTTTGCCCACTTTCTGTTGTACACACTTCACAAATGTCAAGGGAGGTTAAGGTAATTCTTCGCCCTTCTACACTCCAGTGCTTTTCTTGGCTAGTTAAGCATTCCCAAAGTGAACTACATTCTTTTCTTCCTTGGGGTATGTGTCATAGATTCTAACCCTCACAGGTACAGTTGCTTATCTGGTAGCATGGACCTGGGGTTCGGATCTTATTTCTAGCCCTTTCCAATACTGAGGCAGGACCACTCAGTATCTGCTGAACTCTTCATTTCTTCACTCCAGATTCCAGCAAAGCAGTGTGAATGAAATTGGAAAGAATAGCTCGGTAAAGGGCTTACTTTTCTTACAACTGTGAGGTCCTGAGTTTAATTCCCAGAACCCATGTATTGTTGTCATTTGTTTGTTTGTTTGTTTTGAGACAGGATTTCTCTGTATAGCCCTGGCTGTCCTAGAACTGGCTCTGTAAATCAGCCTGGCCTTAAACTCACAGATCTGCCTGCCTCTGTCTTAAGGGTGCTGGGATCAAACTCCATGCTCTACCACCCAGCTAAGAACCCATGCCTTAGAAAAATAAAATATAAAACAACACCTGTAATATTAGGATGAAGGAGGTAGAGATGGGCAGCCTAGTCAGTGAGTTCTAGGCCAGTCTCAAAGAGCAAGGTGAGCTGTAGTTCCAAGGAACATCTCAGATTGTCATCTGGCTCACCTGTGTAGATGTGTAGATGACCTCGAACCCACATACACTCAAAAATAAATTATATATATATATTTTTAGATTAGTAATAGCCTACTTTCCTCTAGCTTACCTTCCCATGGGAACAGAAATAAAATAATTACATACTACCAGGTTAGAAAGTAGAAGTGCTGTGCAGAAAACTAAGCAAGGAAGGGAATGCAGAAATGTATGAAGTTGCAAATACACATATGTGGTGCTTAAAGGACCTTTAGGAATATGTATATTTACTCAAAGGATGATAGAGATAAGAGACAACTCAAAAGTGTAGGGCATGTAGAGGGGTACTCTTAAGTATGACTCCCACACACACATAACCCTTGTGTTACCAGAGATTGCTTGGGAAGCACTCTGGGCCCTTTACAAATTATTTTACTGGAGTCTTGCCGAGTTACACAGGCTGGCCTTAAACTCATTCTATAGCCCACATGGGCTTTGCTTGAACTTGCAGATCTCTTCCTTGGCCTTTGGAGTTTGGAATTACACACTTATTTCTCCAGGCCTTGCGAATATTATGTTGCTTTTTAAATTACTCCTTTATTCTTCCATCCCTTTCTAAAATATCATGCATGTGTAGGAGGCTATTCATTTATTTGTTATAGTGCTGGGAATTGAAACCAGGGCCTCGAATGTGCTAAGTATTCTACCACTGAACCACACCTGCCAACCACAGGAGACTACTTTAAAAAAGCAGAGAAATGCAGAAAATCATCTTGGACTCACTCTGCTAAGCGCAGAGATGCACGGTGATAGTCAACATGAATTGATAACAAAACAGAGAGTCCTCTGCAAAGACTCTATGAGAGATTGTCTAGATTGTCTGAATCTGTGAGCCAACCCTCTTATTTAAGTTTAATTGATGTGGGAAGCCCCAGCCACCTGTGGGCAGCACCATACCCTAGGTCATGAAGTGTATGACTGCAGAAACTGAGCTGAGCATAAGTGACTATGCATGCATTCATCTCTCTCCTCTCTAGCCTGTGAATGGCATGAGGCTAGCTGTTTGAAATTCTTACCTTGACATCCCCCAAGACAATGCACTGTAACTGGAACTGGAAGCTGAAATAAACCCCTCTCTCCCTTGATTTGCTTTCTATGGTCCTTGTTTAGGGGTTGGGGGCAACCCCTAAGCAACCATTGCTGCATGTCTCTAGGTGTTTTACCATAGAAAGCTTTCTGAAAGTTTTTAGTAAGTCTTTTGTTTACAAATTTCCTTTTAGCCCCTGGAGAAGCAGCTTTCCTCTAGCTTACCTTCCTCTAGCAGGAAAATTCCTGCAATGTTGAAGGAGCCCTGGGGCTTCAAGGACCCAGATGAATTAGCATGACCTTTAATCTTCTTGGAGTAATCTCTCTGGATACTCAATGACATTTATTAACACATCATGTGAAAATAGCTAAGCGGATTTTCAACAAACAGGAAGATGGTGTTTTGGAAGCACTGACTTAAAATATAAGCAGGTAATATATTTACAGTTTACTGGAGTGGGGCTCCAAAAAGCAATGGCTTTCAGAGCAGTTAAACCCAAAATGGAATCTCACTCTATTTGAAGAGTACAGTTTGAAATCATCTGATTTAAAATAAAGGTATAAGAGAATGCATGAG